ATGGTATAAAAGATGAAAAATTGCACTTGACAAAATTAATCAAAAGACTATTGAAATTAATTTTTTGGCCACGTAAATATGTTTTAAGAAATGATGAAACTGATCATAGTTCATTCTTAAGAATGCTCAGACAAAAAAGAAATGAACTTATGTATGACAATCCATCATTGGAAGCTTGTATCAATTTCAAATTTTCATCAGCAAGATGGTATTATATCAGACATTTAATCCATTATTTGTTATTTGCATTAATGGTATCACTTGAGCTTGATTTGGTTGGCCCCTCCTCCCCCCCCTCTCTTGATGAAACGGGATCTGCAATGGAGTTTTTATCTACTATATTTGATCCAATAACAGGCACCATTTGGTTTGCTTTAACTGCTTATCTTGGTTATTACTTGTTAGCAATAGAATTGGTACAGGCTAAGCAGGATAAGGTCAAAAGATATTTGAATTTTTATAATTTTATTGATCTCATATCAATTCTGTTTCCATTTGCTTCACTACTTGGAAGTTATATTTTTTCGATGAAATTATATCAAGATTCAATAGTGTTTATAAATTCTGGGCATCCTTCTGTTGCAGACTTGATCATATTTTACAAATATGATTATGATTTTGCTAAAATTTTTTCAATACAAACAATTACTAATTCATTTGTTGTATTAATTTTGTGGTTGGAGTTTGTAAGTAAATTCCACCTATTTATTTTTAAAAATATATATGATTAATAATAACAACACTAATAATTTTTTTTTCAAATTTTCCAACAGTTATTATTATTAAGATTTTTTTCACTCCCTGCACATTTTATCAATCTTATAATTGATATTGTGAAAAATATTTGGCCATTTTTGGTTTTCATGTTGATTGTGATTTTTGGGTTTGGTCATGCAATGTAAGTTTGATTTTTTTTTTTTTAATTAAAATTAAATTATTCATAATAATAAATTTATATTTTTTTTAAAGGTATATATTATTACAGTCTGGTGTAACTGGCTATGGCTTAAAACCAAATGTTGATACTTTCAAAATTTATAGTAATGATTTAATGCTTGATGATAATAGTGATGACCCTTTACAGAATATTACCATTCAAAAAGAGTTTAATGAGTCTGATGTAAATGACAACTATTTTGTTTCATTT